TTCCAAATTTCTTTAGTAGTTTTAAAATCTTCTTTAAAATCTTCTCTAAGCTTGCCTAAATAGTAACAAGCTTCTAAGGTTCGGACTTGTTTTTTTCTTTGGCTTTCACGTATTTCTTTGGCTAAACGAGAGATAATTTCATGTGTCTGATCCTTCCAACTTGTGGTTAAAAGGGGATCAGTACAAAAAGGGGTAATCTGGTTCTCCAAAGTTAAATCTTTCATAATTTTTAGATAATTTGTATCTGTTTTATTAGAATCCAAGTTAGAAACCAAACTTGAATCTGGTGCCAGGATGAGAACGTAAACTTCGTTAGCAATTGGATTTGATTCAGAGTTGGAAACAATAACTTTATTAATTGGTTCTGGTTCTGGGTTGGAGATAATAACTTCATTAGCAATTGAATCTGGTTCTGGGTTGGAGACAATAACTTTGTTAGCAATTTCCTGCAAAGAAACGAAGTCATTTAAGGTTGGTTCAGTAGCATAATCATCAAAGGGTGCCGGTCAAAATCCCGACAAACAGAATCCCGACAGGTCATAATCCCGACAAAAAAATCCCGACAGTAAAAATCCTGACAAATCTCGACAACAAAAAATTATTGTTTGTCACGGATTATCATGAAATTGGATCATCGTGAAATTTAGATTTATTTTATATATGATTTTTAAAATTTTTTGGAGTCTTTTTTGTAAGCTTTTTTTTATAGTTAAGTTAGGGTTTAGGGTTAGAATTATTAATAAAAGAGTATAAGTGGATTTTGGTAGGGCTTATATTTTCAAATCAAGACCTCCAAATTTCATGATGATCTGATTTCACGATAATCCACGACATTGTTTATTTAAGTTAGAGTAAGATTAGGTGAGTATATAGGTTAGGGTTAGGGTGTGCGCCTAGGTTAGAGTTAAGGTATAGGTGATTTTATATGGTAAAATTGCTCAACAAACACTTTTTTTGATTGTCAGGATTTGTCAGAATTTTTGATTGTCAGGATTTTTTTGTTGGGATTATGACCTGTCGAGATTTTGTTTGTTGGGATTTTGACCCAAACTCTCATCAAAGAAGTTATTTTGAAAAGTGTCTGGTGTTTGGTTTTCATTCTTTGTAGGAATTTGTAAGAGGTTTTCATTTCCTGTAGAGATTTGCAAAGAGGCTACAATATCTGTTTCAGTTGTTATAATAGCTTGATTTCTTGAGATAACAAGACTATTATTTTGGAATAAGAGGTCCTGGTTCCAAGATATAATTAAATTAATAAGAGTAGCTAAAAGTTGGGGTTGAAATACAGATAGATTATTCATTTTTTTTTTTGAAAAGGAGAAGATATTTATAATGTTTTGAAGATGTTTTGAAGGATTTGTTTTGTTTGTTTTGGAGAGGAAAAAGACAGGTTTATATATTTTCAAAACAGATAACATCTAGCAAGAAAACTTAGCACAAGGCTTGGCAATAGGGCTTGACACTAGGCTTAACAATAAAGCTTTGCCCATAAGGCTTGAGCTTGAAAATCGAACTTGATGATAGAATAAGAAAATCATTCAAGACCTGTACTTAATTTCTTCAATTGGTAAAGATACTAAGATACTTGTTCTATTCATTATTGCTTTTTGGTTTTTCAAATATTGGGTTTTGGTATTGATAAGTGGTTGTTATGTGAATTATTCCGGTACTGTTTGATTGGTTTGGTTGTATAAAAATTCTGTTTGTTATAGTAATTCGATTTGTAATAATTGTATGAGTGCTACTACTATTTTTGGTAGTTCTTCTTTTTTTTTTTTTTTTGAATCTTGGTTACATATAGATAGTTCAATTAAATTGTTTAACTTATTCTTTGCATTATACTTTTCAATTTAACTTCAAACATGTTTCATCTTCAGTTTTTATATAATTTTGACAGTGATAGTAATAATAATAATAATGTTCATAATAATAATAGTAACAATAATAATAATATTTGGTACGTAAATGTATATATATACAGATATATATATATAGATAAATTAATTTTGATATTATATCTAGGTGGTTATAGCAACAAGCAGAAGACCAGGCTGCAACTATTGCAGAGTTTAACCGTATGGCTCTCGATCATTTGCAACAATTCGTTCATCGGGAGCAGGAGCGAGAAGCTCTTATTGAAGAATGAGATAGGTATCAGACTTGGTTTGAGGAACGTGATGCTGTTTACCAAGATCTTCTTTGTCGGTTCAAAGAAGAAAGAAGATGATGATAATGAAAGAAGAAGGGTGGAAGAGGAAAATGAGAGAGAAAAAGAGGTTGGGGCGTTTTAGTATATTAAATAGTTTCTCTTTTTATTGTCTTTTTCTATTTTCTTAGGATTTTTCTTTTATAAATAAAAAATAAAAATTTTGCTTTTTTGAGTTTTTTGTCTTCTTTTAGAATTTTCTCTGAAAATTCCAATTTTCGGTAATAAATATATATATATATATATATTTTTAAGGTCTTCTAGTAATTATTATCTAGAAAGTGGTCTTTTTCTTTGTCTTGGGTTGGATTTTCCTAGACTTCCAGGTTAATTTCGGTCAATTTGGCATTTGTAATATAGCTCACATGATCAATGCCTATAAATAAATTAACCAATCAGCTACAGCTCACATGATCAATGCCTATAAATAAGTTAACCGATCATCTACTAATTTCGGTTTTCTTTCTTTTCTTTCAGTCATTTGCGCTCTTTTTTTTTTTTAAGTTTCTTTTTTTCATGTCGGATCTTCTAATTTTTCGGCTTCTGGCTATTCTTCTGGTTTCTTGTTTTTTTGTTTTTTTTTTAAACTTAGATTTTTGTCGCTAATGACTTTGTCTTGTCGTTGTGGCTTCGGATCGGGTAGGGCATTCTCTTTCGACGATGCTTTTGGTTTCTAGAGACTTGGTGAATATCATTCCAAGTCGTTTGTCTTTAGCTTGTAGCTTAATCAAAGAGCTACTCAGCTTGTAGCCTTCGAGTAGGGCTTTCTTTGCTTCGCTTCTGGTTAAGATCTACAAGGCTTTTCCTTTTCGGGCCCTTATATAACTCAGGCTTGCAGAGATTTTTTTTGACATTGTATTGTTATATTGTTATTAGCTTTTCCTTTTGTTTTTAAGTTTTTCTTTTTCATAGGCTTAGCTTTTCTGGTTTTCTTTCTGAGTCGGCTCTAGATTTTTGCTTAAATTTTGAAAGGTTATCGCAAATCTCTAGTGGCTTGGGTATTCATATAACGTTTAGAGAAGTTTTTTTTTTTTTTTTTATAGTTTTTGTTTCTTTTTTTTTTTTTATATTTTTCACTTTCTCTTTTCAGAGTGTTATTTCAAAACTGTCTTTGTCTTGGAGTTGTTGTCCATTTCGGGGATCGTCATTCGTCCTTGAGACCGTTGTCGTAAGTGCCATTGTTAAACATTGTCCGTTGTGGTTGCTTTCAAACATCGGCCTTGGGGTTTCTTGTCGGTAATGTGATAAGACTTTCTTTTAAGTATATTAGTATCATGTCTTGCTATTGTCAAGACATTGTTGTTGGATTTTTGTCTTTGGTTTAGAATCGTCAGTTGTTCTAAAAATTGTCGTCTTTTTCTTGGAGTCATTATTATAGGTGTTATTTTTAAATGTCATCGTCTTGTCGTAGTTTCCAGATTCCGAGTAAGCTGTTTTATGGCTCTATTCAAGAACTTTTTCGTTCATTTGATCCATACTTTAGAAGATCTTTTGTTTTGCAATCTTTGATATTTAAGTAACTTAAACCTCACTTTCACTTTTTTTTTTTATACTTAGTATTTGTTTGCTTTATTTCAGTAATAGGCTTTTTTTTTTTTTTTTTATTGGATATTTTCTTCATTCTTGAACATGATTCGATCGAGACTCTTTTTTTTTTTTTTTTTTACTTTTAGTCTCTCTTTTTTTTTTTTTTTTGCATCATTGTCGTTTTGAAATCAGCGTCATTCTTTAGAGTTTTCATCACTTTGTTAGAGTTGAGTATTTTTTTTTTTTTAATATCATCCTTGGTTTCGAAATTGTGGTCTTGTTGCTTTCATAGCTAGTTTTAGCTTCTTCTGGGCAAGCTACTTAAGTTCACGGCTTTCTTAAGGTATGCAAGATTAATTGCAGTTGCAAGACTTGACAAATGTATAGGTGATTGAAGTTTAGTATTTTTTTTGAATTGTTGTCTTTTAGGAAGATATTTTTCAGGCGTGGCTGTTCTTTTCGAATCTTGATGTGTCCTTGAATTCCTGATATGACACAAAAGAACTGATAGATTCTTCGAGGTTGGTATAATAAGGTCTTCTTGTAGTCTTATTTTCATTCCGTAGTATACTTGACTGTGTTTCGATTATGGGCCGAAACCCGAACATAGAATGTGAAGAGTTAAAAAAAGATATATCTTTTTTATTTCATTACTTGTTTTGTTTCTTTTTTTTTTTTTTGTTGCTAAGGTTTTAGTTGTCTCTAGCAAAAATTAGAATTGCCCAGGTTTTCATTGAAACCTTAAGAAAATGGCTTCAAAGTCGACAAGGAATTGAATTCTTTAGGGCTTGATGGCCAACATCAAATATCCGAATACTATGGGTATGGGCTGAAATTGGAACTTCAGTATTTGCTCAAACACTAAAAGAAAAAAGAATTATACGCGACGGGACAGGGAACATCATGGGCCGATATATACTCTTTTTTTTTCATAATTCATTTTCATTATTTTTTTTTTGGTAACTTCTTCATGTTCAGAGTATTTACTAACAATGGCTCTTCTCTCTTCTTTTTTTTTTTTTTTAGAGGCTAAAGAACTTTAAGAGATCATCTAGGGTTCTCTAGATAGAATATTTAAAGTTCAGTTGTTATTGTTTAGAGCAGATTGTTAGTAGGAATTATGGATTTAGTATTAAATAAAGTCAGGTTAAGAATAGATAGAACAGGTTTGATTTAGGATTTGTTTATAAATTAGGGTTAGAAAATTAGATTGAAAAATGAATTCGGAAAAAGGAATTAAATGAATTGGGTTAAGATAAATTGAGTGATTTAATTAGAATCAGAATTTAAATTAAGGAGGGGTGGAGTATTTAGCTTAGATTAGAAGAGGGATTAAATAGGGTGGTTCAATGTTAGGGGAAATAAGATTAGATTTGTAATCGAAAGAGAAATTTGATTTAGAAAACCGGGTAGGTAGTAGTTAAAAATAGAATCAGGTTTTCAGAAATAAGGGAAGGTATTGGATTCGAGTTAAGGTAAGTAATTAAATAGGTTGGGTTAAGATTAAAAATAAAGAAAATAAATTTAGGGTTTGAATTGAACAAGTTGAGTTTAGAATTAGAAATCAGGCAAATGATAGTTATAAGGATAGGATTGAGTTTAGAGTTAGGGGTAAAATTAGGTTGAAAATGAGTTTTAGGTTTAGAATTAGAGAATCAGGTAGGTAGATTTTATTTAATAGTTGAAAATAAGATTTCATCACCACTGAAATTGGGTTAAGCATTAAATGAAAAGGGATTTGGATAGCTAGGATGAGGTTTGGTAAATATTATAGACTTAGAGTTATAATACTGAAAATATTTGGGACGTCTCCCAATTATTGTCAGAACATATGACTCATTTTCTTCAGGTTTAATAGTAAGAATAGATGAAGTGAATTGGGTTTAGAATAAAAGGAATAGGAAGAATGAATAGAATAAATTTGGGTTTATATTGGGTTTAGAGTTGGGTTTTAAGATATCATATGTAGCATTGAATGTAAGTAAATAATTAATAAAAAATTAGGCCGTTTACTATCCCTTAAACTGTAGAGTTCGTGTAACAATTTTAATTTAAAAATAGCATAAATTTAGTTATGATTTATTTTTTTTAATATTTAAAATATTTAAATAAAATTTCATATAATAAT